CTCTTCGCCGCGACGTCCCAAGAGAGACTGCCAAGGGCAGTGCCCTGCTTTTTAACCCCTGTGTATTCTCGGAGGTGTGTCCAAACCCCACTGGCTACACTGGGTGTCAGTCTCAAACCCAAAACCTTCATTGGTTTGACCACAGCTTCCCAGAATTCCCACTTCTTCCTGGTCAAACCACCACAATTTGATAACATTTGTGGTCTACACTGGAGAATAAGATTGAATGTCTCTATGCAGTTTGTTAAATCATTCAGGATTTCACTTCCTGTCATTCTGATTATATACAGAAAATTTACATTTTCAAATGCAGATCAAAATTTTGTTTGGAGACAGTAAATAGTAGTCCCAAAGGGAATATATGTTTATGATTGGAAAGAAGTAGTGGCTTGCGCAGGTGTGATTCATGCTGTGTATTTATTAGTATATCTGGTTGGGCTATACATGCATAAAAATATATTATAAATCACATACAAAGAATTTGCTCCATCTTTTCTAATGGTAAAGTATAAAACATTGCACATAGAAAATTTTAAACTGAATCTCCTTTTATGTTAATCTAGGAAGAAATTAAAACCCTGTAAAAATATTTTATGAACTGGAACAATTTTGTATATTTTTAGCCTTATTTGGAAGAAATAAAGATATATTCCTAGTTTCCTGACTTCAAACTTTTTGAGAGTCTATTTAAATTTATTCAAATCCTCCCAAGACCCCAGCAGTACTTATTAGATACAAAGATCCACATTCAGTGGTTACCCTGTGACCGGTTAGAATGTAGATAAAAGTTTATGAAACCCCAAATTGCCATCTTGATGTTAGGAGGTCAAGTGACTTGGATTAGCATTTAAAGTTACAGGGCAAGCCCTTGGATTTTGAACTCTGAAGGTATTTTGGTACCCACAGATCTGCCTCGAGCAACCTTGGCAGAGGCAGCCCTACATCCACTTAATTCCCTAGGCACGTGGGCCATTGAGCATTGGAGATATCTCCCCAGCAGTGCCTTGACTGGAGTTCCTGCAAACCACATGTGCCCAGATGGTTTTGTGTTTTCAGCAAAACTTTTGGGGATCTAGAGGAGAAGAATATATGTTTAGCCAAGGTTCTTTGCAAAATTTGTATAAATTCAAAAATATTTGTCTTCAACCCCCTCTCCCCATTTCTTTTGTTTACTGTAACAAAATAAATGGGCATTTATCCTCACATACATCCTCACTAGAAGGATGTTTTAAAATAATAATGATACAATTCTTTTTACCCAAATTAGAATAATCTTTGTTACTGTAATGTAACTCTTGCAGTTGCGCTGCTATTTCCGTGGAACAAAAGTGATACACTTGACTTTTGTAATCTGTTACAAGGACTTGATGGAATTCACATTTCAGTATTTTCAAGAAACTGTTCAGAGATGGCCTTAGTCTGATCATTTTGCTGATGTCTCTTTGCAAATTAAGCGGTGAAATGTCTGCTGAAATCAGTTTGCTTTTGTGAAAACCCTTTAAAAACCATGTGAACAAGGGGCAGGAACAACCTAATTCAGAATCAGCAGAAATAGAGATAGCCCTCCAAATGCTGTGTCTACCCCTTTATCTGAGAAAGACATTTGTTCTTTGCCAGCTGAAATTTGAAATTTGTCAAGTAAACCATACATTATCCTTGTTTCTACCAAGCATGTGACAGATACACCAGAGCTTCAAGCACAAGGGGAGAACAATGCAAAAACTATTAGATAATAATTCTTATTGTTACAAGAATAATATAGTTGTTACGAGCACTAGAAGCCATTAGTCTTAGTAGCAAAGCACTAAAAGCTGAAATCCATCCTTGTTTTCCTTTCCTAAGGCACTAAAGGAAATGAACTCAGATCTCTACAGGCCCCACAGAGACATGCTGAATTTTCATTTCCTCTGTCTCCTTTAGAGATAACAATGGGTCCCCGAAGGCTGTTCTTCTTGTCTAGTTAAGGCTAATGGCTTGTGCTTGATGATATTAAAACCTGCTTCTAGCACTGTTTCCTCAGCTTAGATGGGTGACTGACAGGTCACCAGAGCACAGTGGGAAAAGAGCATCCCCCTGCTGCCTGCCTCACCTGTAAATCTGAAAGCTAAACTGTCAGCTGGATACCAGGGAGCACAAATGCAGCCACGCCGCCTGACCTCTGACCTTGGTGCTTTCTTCTTCCCCACTATCAAAGGAGAGGAGGAACTTCAGAAACTGCTGCGGGCAAGAGGGACAAGGCTGTTGAGACTGGAAAAAAGCTGAAACAACAGGGCACCATGAGCCCAGGGCTTACTACAGAGGGACAAATGGAGTGGTCATTTGCCTTTGTGCTGCTTTCAGTTACTTTGAAGGAATATGAGAAAAGAATTTGATTCTTCCAATGACTTCCACTGATGTTAAAACTTTAGTAGAGGGGACCAGGAAGAATTCTTCATAGCCTTGACAGCATTCTTCCAAGAACAGTTAAAAGTGTGTTCTTCCAGCTCCTCTTTTTCCTAGAGTGGGGCTGAGAAAAAGGCAATCATTCACACATACTTTGTTGGATACATTTTTTTTCCATCTTGATCCCTGAAGATTATCATGTCACAGGCATCTCTGTTACCTAGCAACTATGATAAAGCCAAGAAGAAGACCTAAATATCAATTCCTTAGGAGTAATATAAACACTAATACATTAAGCTTTAAACTCTAAGGGAGTCTTTCTTTTATTACAAATGAAACTACCATGCTTTTCCTAACATAATAAAGGAATTGTGTTCTTAATGAAATCTGGCACTATTGATGCATGTCTATTTTTGAAACAGACTGTGTTCACTTCAAATGTTTTGTTGGCACACTGTACATCTTTCAAGCTAATCACTAAACATCAAAATTACTTTGTTGACATTGGGGGTGTTGAAAGTAAACAAGATTATTCCTTAGCTAGAGGTGCCTGAAAGAAAACTTTGTCTTTGAACAATCCCAGATATTGTGGCAACTTGCAAACCTGATCTGTAACTTGAATTTTGCCTCTGTCCTTCCTCCTTCCTCCTTTGTAAAGGACAATGCTGTTCTGAGAAACTGCAGAACAGAAGTGGTATTGCAGATTCTTTTCTCTGTCTTCATTCATGAATCCATTCAATACAGTTAAATCATTTCTGTTCTAGCTGCTCCAAGAGTAACCACATATGGGAAAAGATTACTCATAAAAACGGTGATGGGAGCCAAGCCTCTATCAGACTCCATGAGAAAAATGCAGTCCCTTGGGGACTTCAAAGGCACCAGCAGAACTTGTAGCAGGCTTCACAGCAATAAATAATAAATTCCCACAGGCCAATCATGACCTGATTCAGTTAGCTTGCAGGCAGAGATTGTGAATAACAGATTTACATAGATGCAATTAAAACCAGAATTTGACAAAAAAATCTTCTGTACTTGTATTCACGGAATCATATAGGCTGGAAAATCATGAAGTCCAACCATTTAGATCATGAGATCCAACCATTAACCTGACACTGACAAGTTGAGATGTCCACCATGAAACCATATCCCCAATCACCATGTCTACACACATTTAGAGAGCTCCAGAGATAGTGACTTCTTTGGGCAGCCTGTTCCAGTGCTTAACAATGCTTCCAGTGAAGAATTTTTTCTTGCTATCCAGTCTGAAGGATTCTTGAGGCATCTTGAGGCCTTTCTCTCTTGTCCTGCCATTTAAAAACATGAAGTAAGTTGCTAGGGCACCCCTAATCTAGACAGGTGCTTTTGCTCAGTTAGGCTGGTAACTCCTCTAACAATCTTGTTTTATTTGATGGTATTAGTTCATTGGTCTCATGGAACACAACTTCTGAGTCAGGCCAAAATGATAAAGACCTGGCACCACTCAGAGTCTTAAGTGTCAGGGCT